TAATGTTCTGTAGTTAAATTTAGTTGTCTTCTAGCACAGAATTGACCTCCCCTCTCGCTCTCCCCTCTTCCAAGTGGGTCTCTTCCTTCTCCDCTGGATTGCACGCTGCAAACCCTTGTCCTGGAGGGGCTGCCTCCCTCTCCCAGGTGGTGGAGTGCCTGACCTGACTTTTGAGGTGCTCATCGCTGACCGGCAGAAGCCAGCCCCTCCCTTCCCGGAAAACCATCAGCCAAACAGGGACCAGGAAGAATGAGGCCCAGAAACTGCCACCACCACCCCCACCCCCCATTCTGGGTGCCCGTGGTGTGTAAGCACATGTTAGTGACCTCAGTTCTTGCCATGGTGGCCTCTCGGCACAGAGCTTGCCTTTGTGCTTGGGAGTGCAGGTGACGGCCCCTGTGCAGTGGGCCCTCACCAGTGTTCCTCACTGCCCCATTCACCTATCTATTGTGAGGAGCTACTTCCCGCTGTGTCCTGGCTGTGTGGCCACACCCATGTGTGTACAGGCCTCCCTGCCCTCTGTACTTCCTCTCCAGTGGCCTGGGGAGCCCCAGATGTTGCCAAGATCTTGGTGCAATAAATAATGTGCTGTTGTGAGTCCTTTCTGTGTGTCTTTTTTTTTGAAGATGTACACAAGGCCTTTATTTGTTTTATTTCTAGGTGGTGCTGAGGATGGACCCAGTGTCTTGCTTGAGCTGGGCAGTGCTCTGCCGCTGAGCCAGCCCCAGCCTTCTCGGACGTCTTTTTCCTTTGACTTTTACAAAGGCGCGTGTCTGCCACTCCTATTCCCAAGTCAAGGGTGGGGTGCCAGCGTCCCCCACAGCCCCAGGTCCCTGCTAATGGGATGTTGAGGTGGGAGATTGCCTAAGCCTAGGAGTTCCAAGTCAGTCTGGCAGCGCGGCCTGGTCCTGTCCAGGACAGAATGACAACAGGAGGGTTTGAGACTGAGTGGTCCACTCAGTTCTGTGGGTGTTTTTTAGTGAGTACTCTACCAAGGATATTTGAAGCAGTCCGTTAACTGCAGTTTATTCTATTTGTTGCTTTTTTTTTTTTTTTTTTTTAGTTCTTTATATACTCTAGATATTAGACCTCTTTTTTGGGGGTGGGGGGTAAACTGGGGAGTGAACTCAGGGCACTCAACCACTGAGCTACATCCTCAGCCCAATTTTGTATTTTATTTAGAGACAGGCTCTCACTGAGTTGCTCAGCACTTCGACTTTGAGGCTGGCTTTGAACTTGAGATCCTCCTGCCTCAGCCTCCCGAGCCACTGGGATTACAGGCGTGAGCCACCATGCCCAGCTTTATTGTTTTTTAGGTTTTTCATTGACTAATATTTGGATCTCTAGGGGAAGATGAGAGAAATAATGGATTTCAGTGACCAATGACATTTCTCACTGTTGGCTAAAACGGGGCAGGAAGATCCTGTGGGAATCTTGCCTGCTTTGCATGTGGTAGGATGGAGGGCAGAGTGGCCACAGGGCTGTGCTGGCAGCCCATTCTGACCCAACAGTGTCTGGCCACAGCTTGGAAGGCGTGGTAAGACTTGTGTCCGTGTGGACTGGGGTTGTGGCCATCTGGGAACTTCATCTAGGTTCTCCTGGACAGCACTGGTCCTGAGCCCTGCTGCCAGCCATGGCAGGTCTGGGAGGAGCAGRCAGGGTCATACAGAGGTGCCCAGTGGCCAGGAGGCTAGAGTGGCAGGAGCAGCCCTGGGGAACCCGGAGAGGAGCTGACCTGCCTGGGCGGAGCCTGTGGGCTCCCGTTCAGTGAGTGCTGCCTGGCAGCCCCGTCACCAGCCTTCACCTCCCGCACCTCTTCAGGGCCTTTTCCACGCTCTCCACGAAGATGTCCCTCAAACCCAGTTCTGGACTTGGCCCCAGTCACCTCAAGGTTGGGTCAGACAGCTCAAAGGAGGAGAGGAGAGGAAGCCACCTCCAGATGGAGGAAAGGGCACTCCCGGGCCTTGCTGCAGCCCTCTGACCAGCCAGGCAGTGGCCAGTGGCCCCAAACCACTGGGGATACAGTGGCTATGGGGAGGCCACACTGTTGTCACTGTTCTCTGAACACTGGCCACTCGGGGATGTGTGACGGCCGAGTGAGAGTCTCCCATGGTGCATGGGACCTCGCAGGCAGGGCTGAGGGATCCAGCCTGGGTGAGCACCACTGTGACTCACCCTCACCAGGAGGGTGCCCGGTGCCTCCTGATGAGCCTCAGGCCGGGCAGTGTGTCAAAGCAGGGCCCAGCAGCATGCTCAGGGGGCCACAGCGTGACAGAGAAAGCCTGGTCGTCCTGGTTGGCAAGCTGGGCACCAGGGCTAGGTTAACAGCATCTCATTTGCTCAGTGGACTCCTGGGCTGATAGTGTCTGCATCATAGCCCCACGGGGGTGGGGGTGGGGGTGGAGTGCAGAGGGTGGCAGGTAAGGCTGATGGTCCCCTGAGCAGCCAAGTAGGGTCCCTTGGGCATTCATGAAGTGGAGTCAGGAGCACAGACAATGAAGGTCTGGCCCGGGCAGTCAGTCGAGGAGGCCAAGGAAGTAGCCAGGGAGTAGCGGGCTGCTTCTGGTTTCAGGAGGCCGTAGGTGGGTGACAGTTTCAGTTTGAGACAATGACGATGTTGGCATGTTATAGAACGCCGAGCCTGGGGGAGTCCCAGCCTGGGAAATGGGCAGAAGGTGAGCTCTGAGTCTTCCAGTTAAGAACAAGTCCAGCTGTCGGTGCTCCTGGGGGCGAGGTCCTGGACACACTGCAGGGGGTCAGGGTTAGCAGCAGCAAGCATGACCCTTGGGCCAGTGCTGAGCTGTGTGCTGTGATCCCCTGCCCTGGGTCCTGGCAGGTGGACAGTGTGTTCCTGGAGGGTGGTGTCAGTAGAAGCAGGGGTGGCTGTGGAGGAGGGCCAGTGAGCACAGGACAGGGGCCTCGGAGTGCAGTGTCCTCTGCCCATCAGATCCAGGGCCAACTCCAGCACTGGCCCCTCCCAGAGTCCATACCCGAACCTTTCCACAGCTCCATCCAACTCTGCCTCTGGCATGGCCCCATAGGGCTCTGGGGCTGCCCCACTGCCCATCTTGCTTGGGACTTCTRCAGCTGCCTCCCAATCCCGGGGGTTATTCCGAGGGTTTCCCTCCACCATGGGCCTGACTCTGGTAGGCGAACAGTTTCTTACTGGCTGCTGAAGCTGTCTGCTCTGTCCTCCCTCTGCCTGGTGGTCCCAGCACCCCAGAGCAGCAGACTCCCCGGGCAGAGCTGCCCACAGAGGCCAGTGGAACTGGACAGAGGTGTCAGGCCCATGTCTCAGACTCCAGCCAGCACCAGTCACCAGGGGTCATTAGGGCATGGGTTCTCAGATGTCCCCATGTTCTGATTAGGCCTTCCTGAGGACGTGTAGTTCTGGTAACTCCCCGGGTGGCTGTGCTGGCAGGATCCAGGCACAGACCTGCTGTCCTCATCGGGTGGCCCTCCAGGGGCTCAGGTGTTGGGATGGGGGTGTGGGGAGGGGTCTGGTGCCCGAGTGAAGAAGCACTGTCGCCCCCGACCCCTGTGGGGCCTGTGTGGGCTGCAGCTGTCGGAAGGAGCCCCGTGGTGGGGGTCGGACTCCCTGTGCTCCTCCAGGGCTGCGCTTCGCCCTCCCCTCCGTCCTGCCTGCTCCCTGGTTCCTCCCCCTTCTCTTAGGAACTGGCCCCCCGTGTGTCCACCCTGGAAGCCTGGCGTCTGCTGTGTTCCCCAACCACTCATCCCTCCACTAGGCTTCAGCTCGCTCCCTCCTTTCACTCTCCAAACCCTGAGCCGGCTTCGGTCCTCGTGACTCCACTCCGTGACCTAATTCCCAAACCCAGTGGGCATTTGTCACTGGCTTCTTCCCAGGATCTCCCACTGTTTTCCCCTCCCAGATGGCCTCCTGTCCTGCCCACTGAGGGTCAGTCTGGAACAAAGGACACTCAGTCTGTGGATCTGGCCCAAACTGGCCGGCTCCATTGGTTCACCCCACCACGCGCCTTTCCCTACCTATCCTACTGGCAGACTCGGGGCCCAGGTAGAAATCAGACCTGTGTTCCTTCCCCAGATGGTGAACCTGCACCCGGTTGGAAGCCAGAGCACCTGGGTGCCTCCCCTGCCACTGCCGCTCACACCCATCCTGGAGGTCGGCCTTCCCAGCTGCTGTCCTGGAAGCCCCCCCTGCTTCCTGCTGTCTCACCTGGTGCAGCCTGGGCCTGGCATCTTCCTCTTGGGCTTGAGTGGCCTCCCGCCAGGTTCCTGACCTGCCTTCCTGCTCCCTGTCCCAGGAATGCCTTCCACAGGAGCTCCCCTGCCCCCKGCCCCCACCTCTCAGCTCTGCAGCCCGTGGCCTCAGGGTTCTGGGTCCTGCCCTGCTGGCCTGGGAGGCCCGCCCCTGCCGCCAGGTGGATCAGGAGCGTGCTGGCCCTGGGTAGACTCTGACCCGAGGCATTGCTCACGCTCTTAGCTTTCTCCAGAGGAAACTGCAGGTGGACCCTGCCCATGAGGGTTGAGTGGGGTTCACTCATGGCTTGCTGTAGAAAGCTCAGGGTGTGGGTCCAGACTGGGTTCTGACGGGGCCCGGTAGGAGTCGGCCTCATGAATGGAGTCAGTCGTACCGCCTCTCCGTGCTGTTTTTTGAAATGCCTGGTTGGATTTGTGCCTGGCCACTGTGGCTGTGTCCTTACACTACCTGGACCCTCTCCTGCCTGCTTCAGTGAGGAGGGCAGTGGTTAGGGGGGCTGGCAGGATGTGGCTACCAGTGCCCTCCCTTGGGCAGGCTCTGGGTGTATAGGTGGCTTTTTTGTTTGTTTGTTTGTTTGGTACAGGGGATTGAACCCAAGGGCACTTAATTCCTGAGCCACATCCCAGCCCTTTTTTWAATTTTTATTTTGAAACAGCATCTCGTTAAGTTGCTTAGGGCCTTGCTAGATTGCTGAGGCTGGCTTTGAACTTGGAATCATCCTGCCTCAGCCTCCTGAGCCACTGGGATCACTCACGCGCACCACCACACCTGGCTCGGTGCATCTTACCATGGATGGGTCCAGGCTTCAGCACACAGAGCCTAAGGACCTGGCAAGTGCCTGCTGTGAGCTGTGTGCAGGGATCAATGTGTTACGCACACCAATGACTTTTTCATGGCTGTTTCAAAATGGTGTGAAGCCTCATCACCCCACGCTAAGAACTAGTATTGTTACAACGTACCTTCTGTGGGTTTTGCTCCTGTGATGGAAGACAATCCCTTTACAACTCCTCTCCCTTTCCAGTGTTTTCTTCTGCTTTTCTGTCATAGATGGCCACATTTGGATATTCCACTGCAAGGGACCAAGGCTGTTGTCTAGCCAGGCCCAGGATTAGCCACCCAGGAAATATTTATTGAACAAGGGAACCTGAAAAGGTCGTGGAGGAAGCCTGGCTGTGACTGGCATTTGGATGCTGCTCAGAACACCGCCAGCCCACTGCCCGCCAAAGCCCGAGCTCAGAAATCCCCCTTTGTGGACTCGGCTCTGTGTTGCCCACTCGAGCTCCACCACCCTTTGTCTTTCTCACACGTGGAAACACTGTGGTGAGGTCGAGTGGGAATTCTTCTATCTGAAACAAATGCCCAGACAGTGGCATGTGGCCAGCTGCCTTCTGGGTGGCATGGGAACAGTTGGTGACAGCTGGATACAATCAAGTTCCATTACAAACAGATTTTAAGTGCCACTCATACATAGAAGAAATTGCAAGCTTTAGCAAAGTACAATCTGGGGTTTTCAAAGCAGGACAATGCCCCGTCGGAGCCGGCAAGTGGTTGTGTGTGCAGCCTTTCACACGGGTCAAGTGCGCCTTCTTCCCCAGCGCCCCTCGGCTCCTCACAGTCCTGCTGTGGAACTGGCACACATGGGTCCAGATGGCTCCCGCTGGGCTATGGGTCCTCCTGCCTTGCAACTTGCTGAGGACACTGGATTAAAGGCCTGTACATACCCGACCCAGTGGGAAGTGTCAGAGGCTGGCTGATGGGGGAGCTGCTGCTGCTCCCAGGCCTCCACTTGGCTTTCTCCGGGGAACGGATGGTCCATCAGGGTGGGCACTGAGCTTGTTCTTCTTCAATGAAGCAGGTGTCCTGATGCACTTCTTAGCCCTTGCTGTCCCTCCCCGGCCATCTCTGGCCACAATCTGGCTTTGCAGGGGTGSGTCAGGCTAGCTGGCAGCAGCTGGCCATTTGGTGTTGCAAGTGGGACCTCAGATATGTCTGGGCTTCCTCTGGGGTGCATATGCTGGGGGGTCCCTCTGCATTTTGTCCTTGACCCTTCTTCTGATCTTCTGGCACATGGCTCGGGTGGGTTGTGAGTTGACCCTTTAGTACAGAGCTCTCATGCAGTGCTCATGRGTCCCCTTCTCAGGAGATGTCTACTCTACCTCTGCTTGTTACCCCTACAGCCTCGCTCATTCCAGTGGGAGAATGGAAAAGCAAGGAAAAATAACAATTTATTGTTGAAAAAGGAATCAGATAAAATGAGCATTAGGAAAGATTGAGAGATTGTAAGACAGTACTTAGAGTAGTATCTGATATGGTAAGCAACCTCTAAAAGTTTTGTTAAAATTGGTAATGCAAGCTGGGTGCAATGGTTCATGCCTATAATCCAAGCTATTTGGGAGTCCGAGATAGGAGGATTGCAAATTGGAGGCCAGCCTGGGAACTTAACGATACCCTGYCTCTAAATAAAATTAAGAGACTTGGGGATGTAGCTCAGTGGTAGAGCACTTGCCTAGCATATGTGAGGCCCTGGGTTCAGTCCCCAATACTGCATAAATAAATAACGCAGACCTAAGGTATATGATTTTAACGCCATGTGTGTTAGTTTCCTAGAGCTGCTGTAACAAAGCACTACGACTGGATGGCTTAAGTTTCACACTATTAATATGTTTCCTCCATGTTCTGAAATTTGAAGCTGGGGGAGGGCCTCTGTCTCACCAGACTCTCTGAGACCCTGGCTGCTGCTCCCAGGAGGCTCTAGGCATTCTCTGGTTGCCACGGGGTCAGTCCAGTCTCCCTTTCCTCTTGGCAGCTTCTCTCGTGTCTCCGTGTTCAAATTTCCCTCTTGAAAAGACACTGGCTATTGGCTTCTGACCCACCCTCTGAACTTGATCACACCTGCAAAGACGTAACTTCCAAATGTTGCATTCATGGGGCCCAAGGGCCAGGGCTTGGATGTGTCTTGGTGGGACACAGTGCGACCCGCAGCAGCATGGAAACATTCTCTCCAGAGGCAGCCTGAGAGGCCCAAACCCACGCTGAAGGTCCTCAGGAGAACTTGGATGTAGGTGGTGGTCTGGGTCAGTGTCAGCAAACCAGAGAGGCACCCAGCCCCTCACTATCCTGCCTCCTGCTCCCTCTCTTTTGAGGTCTCCTTGTGCTCAGCAGAGSGGGTGCGAGCATCAGGTACAGGAATGAAACCGTTGGCTCCAGCCTGGAGGTGCCCTTGACCTGGCCCTCTGTGAGCCTCAGTTTCTAAACTGTCCCACAAAGACAGCCAAATTATCCCTTCCAAGTTATGATAGGGCCTAATGGAGCAGCTTACGAGTGGGTTTGACAGGGACCTGTGGTCAGGAATAACACACCCCTAGCCAGCAGACACACATGCAACCCCAGCAAACGTTGTCCTTATTACATGGGAGGGCCACCGAGGTGTTTGTTTTATTTTGTCTTCCAATCRTAAGTATTTGTTTCACACTATTAAGAATCATGACCTGCTGTTTGAGAAATTCTGTCCTAATGGAGCAATGTCAGGGAACAATTCCAACAGCCACCCTGCTCACCGATGCTGTGAATGGCACTGCTGGTACCCTCCCCAAGTCTCCACGTCTGTGGGGTTTTGGTTTAGCCGACAGGACTGCAGTGCCGATGGTGAGCACCAAGCACTGCTGCCGCAGCCCGGCTGGCTGGGCAAAATAACAGGGGGTGACGAGCAACTTGTGTAGATTGATACAGCAGGAGTGGGAGCCATTTATT